GAAGTGGTGCTGGCTCCTACCCTGGGGGTCTTTAAGAAGAGGCTTGATGTCTACCTGGCTGGAGTCATTTGAGCCCAGCTTCTCTCCTGCCTAGGGGGGGGGGGGGTCAGACTTGAAGATCTACAAGGTCCCTTCCAACCCTACTTCTATGATATCACCTTACAATAATCACATGGGAGTCTGTGGCCATCAAATAAACCAAAGCAAGTATGGTATATGTTCTATTATTGTTTTCCATACATCAGCATCAGAAAGTGACATCAGTTCTACAGGAGACGAGGAAAACTGCTCCTGGAAATATTGTGACAACTTTAGTATATCTGTTGTAAATACCTTTGCTAATACAATTTTTTAAAATTCCAAGATACTGGAAGCACAGTGGCTTGATAAGAATACCACTTGTAGTAGAGGACTAGGTTTTCTGCTACCTATTATAACCACTTACTGAAAAAAACAACTTACTTTCCAGATGTACTTTCTCTTTCCCTGAATCACTTTTAATCAATGTGTACATGGCCCTAGTCTTTGTCATCTCAGCTCTGAGACAGTACAAGAGGAAATTGTTATGTCTTTCATCTTTTAAACAGGTCTAAAATTGTTTTCACAAAGTTACATACCAAGAAATCCCTTTTCCTTTAGCAGAATGGAGATGAACCTGGATCAGCAAATCCTGTGTGGAAGTGGAAAGTAGGTTGCAAATGATGACTCTGCAACATGTTCTCCTCTCTCCTGCCCCACAGTAAGTTTTCCTAAATGCCCTGGAGGATCTACACTACAGAATTAGTTGGAAGAAAAGCTGCCATAGGACAAAGGAGCTGGTAACACTCCACCAACTTCACCTTCCTTTTTCAGAAATGCCTCATATAGGTATCAATTAGTCAAGGAGTAGCCAATCTGTGGCACAAGGGCAGGCAGTCTGTGTGTGTGTCATGTGGCACACTGGGGAGGGGATAGGCTACAGCATTGCAAATAGGAAGGGGAACAGAAAGCAGAGCAGAGCAGCAGCAGCTCAGTCAGGAAGCTTAGTGAAGGGAACAGAAAGCTGAGCAGGATATCAGAGAAAAGAATCAAGTGGTACTCAGGGAAGATGCAGGGCTAATTTGTGGCATTTTTGCCAAAGAGGTTGGCCTCCACTGAATTAATCAGTATCAGTTAGCATTGATTGGGTCAACAGCATTAGGTCATATATCCTGCCCCCTTTCTCTCTATAGCTTCTGGCAGCAGAGTTTCCCTTGTAGTCTGATTCTTTCAGAGCTGTGCCCTCAAGGACCATACTGTAGGCGATAGAAGGCATGGTTCCTTCTGTGCAAGAATTGGCAGGGCATCTTGCAAGTACACTCATGTTTCTAGCTCCCTCTATAAATTATTTCCATGCGACTAACTGGTGGAATTTACACCAATGTGACTGGGTACTTCAATCCATATCTCTTTAAATAGGAGCCTTTCTATCAACTCCAGTGAATTGTGGAGCAGGCTATAGGCACTAATCATGTGACACTGGATCAAAGAATAAGAGTCGCAATAAACACAAGCTGTGCTCAGACACTGCCAACAGGTTGCGGGGATGTTGCTAATGAAATTTCTTGGAGCAATATGGTTCCCCACACCAAACCTAGCTACCTATAACCAGATTTGAAAGCAGGGATATAGCATAGGCCTGGTTGTCTCAGCAAAACCATGCTTGGCAACTGTGTTTTTAATACAGGCAAAGTTTACTTGTGCTATTTCAGGATGGGCAGGTCTGAAAAGTGCTCAGGTTACAGATTACCCTTGATTTGTGTAGACATTTAGCAAAACAAAACTGCAGCAGCTGGCTGCTTTTATGACAATCCTAAGAGCTTGGAATGCAAATAAAGGCTTATTTCTGATTTTGAATTGTTTTTCTTTCAGGTATCACCTGTGAATAATTGCATACCTCAGTTTGTGGGAATGAGCGTTACAGGGTTTGAGTCCCAGTGCTAATTCAAATCTCTTTCCTCCGGTGTTCCTGCATTCAGGCTCTCTCATCAGAAGTCCAACACCTCCTCATTAGAGACCAGCTGAAGAGACCACTGAACCAGCCCTTTTTGTTGTATAGTGATACTTTCTCCAAGAAGAGAGGTATTAATCTACAAAAAATAAATAACTGAACTTTTTCTAATTTCAAAGGCAGTTTGTAGTTTAGGCAAGAATTTGGTTTTGTTTATATTTTCTGCAAACCAGCGCATTCCTTTGTCATTTCAACTGCCATGCCACAATGTGGTTTTATGGCTAAGTTGTATCCTAATAAGTAATTGATTAGAAGAGGTGGTCATATACCTGGGTCAGCTTGCAATAAATGCCACTGGCCTCTCACTGCCACTCTAACATTGCATTCATGTTTTGTTCAGAAACTTTAAACTATGTACTAACAGTTTGGTGGCTGAACTCATCCCATCTCTATCCTTTTATTTTTAAGCTAGGTAAATATGCTCTGTCATTTTAAAAAATGTGGGTCAGGTTTACAAACCTTAAGCCAGACTCTGAATGCTTATTATGATCAGCCACTCATGAATTGCTTCTCTAGTTTAGCAAAGTTCAACAACTGGACTATTTACTGGTATATCTTCACATAAAATGTAGCTATAAGTGCCTTGCTTGTTCTCCCAGTGCTTATCTATTAAAGTCAGTGAAGGGTTGCCTGCAGACCTATCCATCTCAGTCTACCCTTCTCTGTAAAAGCCTTTAGAAAGAGAAGGGGGGCATTACAGCACGCCTGACAAATTAACAAATATGGTTTTGGCAGATGACAGGAAATATGCAAGCTCCAGTACAAGGGACCCCTCACAGTAGGATTAAGGCATAACAGTAAAACATCTCCTAGCCATTATTCCATACACTGTAACCATTTCAGTGTTCATTATGGCTTCCATTAGCTTATTTATAAGAGAACAATAAAGCAAGTAATGTGCATGCATGTGTGTTTAATAGAAATGATAATCTGCAGAAGTACAATTTACTAGACTCTGTGGAGAAATTATTGGCACTGATCTCTTGGGAAAATCATAGCACTGGAATTTTAAAAAATCTTTTTGGTAACTTATTTGAGTTTTCCACTCATCATAAAGATTTATTGATCACTCTCTGACTATGGCATAATTAAGTATACAAAGGCTTGGCAGTTATAGCAGAGCATATCCTTGTAGAAATGAAAACAGTATGCTAAATCAAGGGAATTCCAATCTTAAAAATATTTTATAGGCTCATGAATAAGTTGAGTGTATTGGATATAAATATACATGGCACGGTTTCCAAAAACAGGTACGCGATCAGATTATATTGTTGAATTTATGTCTCTTTTGCTTTGTTATTTAGTAACATTACTAAAAACCCTACTTCAGTTTTAACCACTATTTTATTGTTGAATATAATCAGGTAAATTCATGGATGTTAGTGTTGCTAAGATTAAATGAAAATAAATCTTTCTGAAAAGACTCTTTGAGGTTTGTGGAAAATGATATTTGACATTCATAATACCAACTGTCCAGCTATGAAACAGGTGGCTTTCTACCCTTGCAAATGAGATTTTATTGCTAAAATAAAGTAAAAATTGTTTTAAAGCAAAGAACACACATCTTTATAGTAAAACTCAAGTTTGTTTTACATTTAGAGAAAAGTCACAAGGTTCCCCCCAACCCCCCCCAAGTTTTTATATATATATATATATTTCAAATATATATATACATATATATATTTGAAAATATATTTAAAAACATAAAAAATCTATAGTTAAACATATTATATGCTAATTAGTACACTTAAATATAGCTTAATTATATTTACAATATGACGCAGATGATTTTAAGGTTTAATGCCAATTTCAGTTTTTCCCAAAAACATAAAATTATATAAATATACAATAAATATGTTACACATAGTGAATATAGAGAACAAGGCCACAGACATTGACTTACATTTGCAAGAGAGTCTTTACTTTTAACAAAGCACTAGGCCTGCTGACATGCATGAAATACCTTTGTCACAGCAGCAAGACTTCAATTAAGTGACTTTTTTTAAAACCTCATTTCAACTAAAACTGCCAAGCCTGTGATCATGTATGTGCTAGGTCTGGCATGCAACAGCCATGGGACTGTAGTCTAATTGCCTATTTCATTTTGCAGAAATTATAAATACCAATATTTTAGGGAATACTGTGTCACACTATATACTTGTAGAGTTTAGAATAGTTTCCTTTTGTCCCCACCTGAAATAGAAACCCTAATTAAAAAAAAATGTTTAACTTTTTTAAAAAACATTTTAGGCCACACTTTGCAACTAGTTTGAGTGCTCAGCAACTCCATTAATTTCACCTAGTAAGTATGAAAGTGGCAGGATCTAGACATAGATCAATCTAGTTGTTAAGGCTCTACAAACATTTATATGACACTTCTTAAACCAGCCTGGGAGTTTTGCTTGAGTGAGAACCTGCCTGCAGGTAACTCTGGCTGATCACTAATCTTACATTCTTTCAAGCATGAATTATGTTTTATGCTTTTTTTCAAATTAGATGCCTATCATTTGTCTTTCTGGTGCCAAAGTAGATGAATAATCTACTTCCTATACACTGGTTAATTTAACCCCTTCCCATTTTCTAGGCATTTGTCTTTCTAATTTTTATGGTTTGTGATGAGGCAGTAAGCCACCTTGATGAAATCCTGACTCTAGTAAAGGTCAATATAAAGGCTTGTGGTGGGTCAGCTGGTTTTGATTAAATAAAATCCTCCCTCCCACCCCCATCATCCTTCAGTATATAAATTCAAAAAGTTGATCTTTTCTATTTGGGTGGGACCTTTTCCATTTCTAGTTTCCATTTAGGAGTAGGAGTACCTGAACTCTCCCAATAAGGCCTAAAATTTGAGGTCCAGGAAGATCAGATGAAGTTGCATGTTTGTGTGTGTGTTGTCTCATGATAGTGAAACCTCATAGCAGTTGCTAGGATGGAAAAGGTAGATGGAGAATGAAGTTATCAGTGTGCAGAGGGGGTCAACTCTGGTAGTCACTTCTGCTAATGAAGGAACGGATCCAAAGTTCATTTACATTTAAGGAGCACTTATTAAATATCTTTGGCTGATAGGAGTGATGGTATCTGTTTATGGGATTGAGTCTACTTGTATTAATGAGTTAGGCTAAGTATGGAACATATAATCCAAAAAAAAGGAATATCTTTCAAAATTCCTGACACAATCCCAATCTCAAATGACTTTGTTCAGAAATGCAAAAAAAGTACACAAGTTTTGCCAGTATGAAATTCTGGATAGAATGTTGCAAAATGTGTGCGTCTTGGCTTTGGTCATTTCTCACTCTCAATTTTACCTACATGAGTTACAGCTACAAATAAAACACCTTCCTTCAGTGAACCCATTATGCTAGTTAATCAGGTTGCTAAATTGAATTTCCCACCTTCCAGAAATCAGTGAATGCAGCAACAAAACATAACTTTAATATACTTTGCCCATAAATACATTTCTTATCCTGTCTTGTTCTGGGAGCTCAACTTTTGAGCTTCTAACTCAAAAATACTGATGTTATACTACTTATTAGTAGGAGACTGCTGCAATTGGCTATTTGAATCTAAGTGCATTTTGTGTTAGTTATCCCAGAAGTAATTTTCACTCCTGCTTTTCCTATTTTTTCGAACCATTATATTGTCCTGCTTTCATATTTGTCTACTAAAGTTGACATATACTGCCTATTAGAAATGGAACCTCTTGAAAATATCTTAGGTGTGTTAGACATTTCAAACTAGCACAAGGCCTTTTCTGCCTCATTCCAAAGCCAATCCTCAGGAGTCCTTCTGGCCTGGATTCTAAACTTCTCTACTACTATATCTCCCAGTAACTCAAGGGCCAAAGCACATTAGATATTTTCATGGTCACCAATGGAGCAATAGGTTGTACTACATATATTAATATACAGGGCAAAGCTGCTGCTCTTCCACTGAACCCATGGAGCCCAATTCAGTGCTGATTTATACTCAAGCAGCCCCACTCAAGCCAAGGCTTTGTAACTCACTACTGAACTGGGCCCGTATTATCTCGTCTTGTGGCTTCCTAGCTTTTAGGGTCACTTGACTCTTTCCAAACTGTTTTATGATGACATTTCATTTTGCTTCAACAAAACATTTGATCCAAGCACAAAAAGTCTTTTATTACATCAAGTCATTGCTCTCAACACTCTTGATATTTTCAATATGACAAGCTCCAGTTGTACGGTGAGAAGTGAAATATTTAGAGATTGCAATCAATTTCCTTCCAAAGAGAGGAAGGGGGAAAAAAAAACTTCAAACACAAACAAACATTATGTAAGCAAATGCAGGTCTTTCAAAAGAAAGCCATTAAAAAAAAAAAAAAAGGAGGCAGACAGTTACACAAGTGCTGTCTTTAAGCCTGAAGTTCAGTAGCATGAAGTGGAACATCAGTATTCTTTTTTCAGTTGCCTTTTTTAAAATTTTTTTTTTGTCAGTAGTCTGATTTGATATTGCAAACACCTTCACAACATACAAAAAATTATTTTATCCAGAACATATGGTAATGATATTTTTCTTTTTTTTCCAACTATGTGGGAATTTAAAAGTAAAAAAAAACCAAAACAGTAAAACTATGACAACAGCACCTTGACATTGTTTTAATTCCAACGCTATCAGAAGTTAAAGCAGTAAACAGATATAATACTAACAGGAATAAAGATACTTACTGTCTAAAATGTAAACGGAATGTTTTGGTTCAATTTTTTTTCTGAAAGAGGACAGTTTATCATCAATTCACAATTGAAGCAGCATGCAATTTTATTAATTTTTTTAAATTTTTCTGTTTTCAATTCTTGGCAACGGCAACAAACCACAATGTTATCGAGGAATGTAATGCAGACTTTTTTTTTTCTTTTTTTTAAAGTTGTGCGCAAATGACTTTTGTTCCCCTTCAGGTCATGGATATGTTCAATAAATAGACTGTGGAACCACTGTACTGTATAAACTTCAGTTATACATGCAGTCCATAAAATTATTTTTACTGAATAATTTACCCTGTTATGTATATATACAAATAGATAATTTTGTCTCAATATAATCTATGCAACATGAATCCACTATCTTCCCCTTTTAATGGTCAAAGTACATACACAGGAAGTGTCTATTCTTATAAACCGCCAGCCAACTCTCTTTTTATTATCCATGGTGAGCGCTCGCACGTACGACTGGGTAGTTCGGCACTGGGAATTCCAGTGCCTCTTGTCTATGCCCCTGCACCCCTCTTTTGTGTAACCCTTGGGGTTGCATTTGGTCTCATAGAAGTATTGCTTCAGTTGGCCTTTGGGTACTGGGACTTTTTCCAAGACTGTAACGGTTGCACCAGACATGTCCACTGCAGTCTTTTTTTCTGCTGCTGTTACCCACTCACTAGTACTGTCACACACACTTAGTTCCCCACGACGAGCTGGGTCAGAGTGGCGCCGGACCCTCATAGACATATTTGCAGCATCCAAGTAATTTTTGTACTCCTCAAGCAGAAAGAGCAATGGGGGTTCCAAAGGCACTTGACTGCTTAGCATAACCCGAGATGTATACAAGTCTGCATCCTTGTTTTCTTCACTGGGCTGGATGTCCTGATCCTCATCTAGAAGCTCCTCTATGACATGTTCAAAAGTGTCTGCCAGTGATGTCAGTCCCCTTGAACCAGCATTGGACCCACTTAGGCTCTCCAGAGTCCCGTGGGTCCGAAGACCTGGGTAAGCCAAGCTGCCTTGTCCTCTGACACTTGCTTCATTCATTGGGGCAGCTTTCATGCAACTGAAGTATGAAATAACCATAGTAAGGAAAAGGATGGTCATCACTCTTCTCACTTGGTGAAACTGTTAGGAACAGGACAAAAAAACAAAACAAAGAGGTTTAAAATGTCATAGGGGCCAAAAACTAATACATAAACTAATACAATTACATGTAATTGTAAGAAGACAAAGATTTATTAATATGTCAGCTGGGGTAATCTGTTGCACATAGGTACAGATTAATGTCAACAGCACTTTGTAATTTGTTTTATGCAACAAAGGTGCTCATATGTTCATCCTGTGCTTTAGCACTCCAACTAAACAGAAAACAATGACTAGGACACCTGGCTAGTAGGAAATCAAAAACTCATTCCAGAGGCCCAAGGTCTCTCCACAGTAAGTGCCACACTTCAGGTTATATATAGGCCTAATACTTAATGATCTTGCGTATGTGCTGTCAGGGCAACAACAATAATTAGAAATGCTACTGTGCAATAACACTTTAATAATCTACAGGTTCAGAAATACATGGTCTGTCACAAAGTGCCTGACTATTTTAATGATGACGTACTTAGAAGTCTAAAGTACAACTAGATTCTCTGAACTACTGAAACATTACTGTAACACGGAGAACAAGAAACCTGAAGGGATTGTAGTCCCTGTCCCAACAATCATGAACTGTATCAACAAATAACTATCCTAAATAAAAGTTGTACTGACAGATCCCTCTCCAGCATCTGTTTTTGTACATGGTTATGGCTCATGTGGATCAAGCAAGATTTTCTTTTTGAGTACAGACCCACGTATTTTATTCTGTGGATCAACGTAGACCATTTCACAACTCCATCTGCCAGAGGTTGCCCTTCACACATGTTAATGCAACTATGAGAAGATGCAACTAGGTTTTGAAAATTACCTCCATACATAGAAAAAAGCCACAGTTATCAGGTCTCAGTAGGCCAATTCCTTGCCTAAAAAAGTATAAAGAAGAATATGCAACCAGACAAAAGTACCAGAGAAGTGAACATGCAAGTGTAGCAAACATATTGAAATGCTGTGTAAGTAAATACCTAGCTTGCATTATGTGAATGCTATGGAAAAGGCATATTAGATTACAAGAAGTGATAAGGAGAGATTGAAATGGCAATAATAGAACCACTACATTGTCATTTCCAAGAGCTAAATCATATTAGTCCTTATTTAGGCAAAACATCTGTTAAATTCAACAGTGAAGTCAACTAAGTTTTGCCTGAGACAGGATTTGACTCCAGTGCATGATCACAGAAGCTGGCATGAACTCCAAAGGCAGGATCAACCGCTGGGGCTGCTTCCACCGAGGCAATTGTTCCATCATATTTAAGTATTATGACTGTTTGGCCTGTTCATGTTTGGTCTGCTTTTCTCAGTCCAACTCAGCCCAGAGTTGGGAGCATCACCTGGACAAGGTGAGACAACTGCTCACTCGACCCTTCCCCTGTCAAATATGGCAGGATGAAACACCGGGGATAAATGAAGGGATGGTTTGTTTATTTTAAAAAGCCCTCACAAGCATACAAGCTAACAAAATGTGTTCCTATCAGCACTTTAGGCAGCTTGCTGATATGTCTGTCCCCTTCCCGCAGCCTTAGTTTAGCCTTTTTGAATGAAAAATATTTCAAGGCAGGAACCATTTCTTCCTGCGTCTATGTTGTATACATTTTTAGGTGTTACTATAATAAGCCCTACAATTCCTGAGTGCCAGAGAGACCTGTTTTTCTGACTTATCTGTACTGCTACAACATCGTCCAAGTCCAACTATTATTTTTCCCCTTCCGTTCCCAGCTCTCACCAGCTCTGTGCTTGCTAGAAAGCAACAGCATTGTTCGCATTCTTGAAGTAGCAGCTCATGGTCATTTCAGTGCTTTTGAAGTTCATTCGGAAGTACCTCATACTTGGCAATGCACATTGGAGTAAATGCTATTTCTGCTTGCCAACAGGGTGCTATCTGAGTCTTACTTCATCTCCTACAAATATTGTGGGAAACCAGAACTCCAAAATTCTTAAGGGGGAGAGGTAGGGGGAGCCACAAAAACAAAGAGGCTACACAAACTAAGGGCACTGCCAAGGTCTTAGGTCCCAAAACTCATTTACTGAAAGGTTATTTCCTAGATAGGAGTGTAGTTGAGCACTCCCACCCCTCAGCTCAACATATCCCCCCTCTCCCAGTCATTCTTCCTGTTTAAAAAAAGTGTTGTTGCAACATTGATATATCAAAGTTAAACAATCCTGATGTCTGTGACTCACAGGAACATAGTATTTGCTGTAAATATGCAGAACGTTAATAAGATTTTGCAGATAGATGATGTTTTCCATCCTTGGTTCTCAAAGTGTTTTGGAAAGACAGATAAGCTTATTAATATAAAACATACTTGCTGAGAAAGGAACTGGTGCACCGATACTATGTTTACATTGAGGAATTGAGACATTGAAAAAAGTATCAGTGGATATTTTTGAAAAAATCCTGCCTTTGTGACTTGCCCAAGGTCACATAAGTCAACAGGAGAACTAGGAACTGAATGCAAATCTCATGGCTCCAATTCAAGTGCTTGGTATCACCATTAATAATAATTTGTATTACTGTAGTACCCAGAGGTCCCATTCAGAATCACTGTTTAATTATATCGGGTGCTGTCCAAGCATGAAATAGAAGTTGGTTTCCTACTCCGTGGCTTTTATAGTACTGTAGAGGCAAAGCAAAGAAGTGTGCAAAAGGAAGGGATGAGACTGAGTGCATTGTGAACACAAGGTTGCACACATTAGCTAAGGGTACAGTTGGGATGTACCAAAGTTTGCTTTAAAACTAGGCAAGTGAACAAGTGACATAATGAATCTCTAACAGACCGCCTATTTAGCTGTTCTTTTTAGGCACTTTACTGTAGACTAGTGGTTCTCAAACTCTTTTTTTCGCAGACCACTTGAAAATTGCTGAGGGTCTCAGCAGACCACTTAAACTTTTTTTTTTTTCTTTTAATATCAGCAGTCTTACCTTACAAGTACAGATATTCTCTATTATTCCGCGACCATTCTGTGGACCACCTAAATGGAGCTCACGGAGTAGTGGTGGTCCGTGGACCACAGTTTGAGAACCTTTGCTGTAGACCTCATTGTAGCAATGTGTCTTAAGAAGTGATTTGACAGAGAACAAGGTAATAGTTACGTAACTATTTGGGGAAGGTATTCCACATGAGAAATTAGTGTGGAAAGGAATCATTGAAAGTGCATGTGGGAGAAGCAAAGAAACTTGTCTTGATCTTCTAGTTTCTAGATATTATCTGCCACTTGGCCACTGATCCAGCAAGTTGAGCAGTATTCATTATGTAATGCTTCAAAGTTAACCTCCTCCCTCTATATGTTATTGCAGGAAAAATGACTTTAAGGGTAGCACCCCAAAGGTGCTCCTACATTTCCAGAGGCACATAATGATTGTATACATACAGATTTATTCCTGTAAAAGATAACCAAACCTTGGATTTCTCCCTGCCTATTGTAGCACCTTGGCTCTGCAGCAATCAAAACAGTGAAGCCATATGTGTACAAGTTGTCTAAAAGTAGATTCCACATATGGAAAGCTTTTGGAAGACGAATTTTGGAAGGTAAAATTTCAAACTCCCCTTTAAATGAGCTATGGATGAATTGTCACTGTATTTATATCATCTGGAAAGACACTTCTGCATATCTTGAGGGAGAACATGCAAGGGAAAGACTTTTTACAATGTGCGCATTCTTCGTAATAGCATTTTGGCGAAGAAAATTTGTTCAATTGTGCTAACGTGAAGGGAAACCCTTTAAACACATCTTCATCTTGGGGGAAAGAGAGGTTACAGTGGAAGCAGTTGCATAAAGTGTGATAAAATGAGGTCATGATGGAATATGATTATTAAATCCGAGTTCATGGATAAAAACCTTTGAGCTGGAATTTTTTTCTTTGCTACTTTGAATGTAGCACTGCAACTTGACTGAAGAATGCAAGGTCCTTATCTCCTATAATGAGTCAGTATAAAACACTTGGTATCCAAATGCAAGGTTTCAAAGGGTCACTGGAGACGATTAAGGTTTGCATGTACATTTTCAGTTCCTTCTATTTGTCATCCATCCCCCCCCTCAACTATTAAACTTGTGTTATACCAATATATTAAAGATTAATAAAGCTCCTGCTTGGCCCATTACAATGTACGTCTAATAAACCCAGATATTTAATATAGACTATGCATGCCCTTCTGCTTGCTAATCAGCTACTGGATCATAAGTCAGGGAAAGACAAAAGAAAGGGAGCTGGATTTGTCTATTTTCTCCATTTACTCTACTAGTAGGATTTCTAGACTTCCTTTATCCCTGTATCTCTGTGGTTGGGGGAATATCGTCACCCTAAGGGGCGAGGTACTTTCTGTTGCATAAGGGGAAAGCTTGAAAGCTTACAAATAACTATTTGTGCCATTCCAAGGTTTTTCACTTAGGCAAACAGTTAAAAGTCTGCTAGTGAGTAATTCCAGGATACCTTTTTCCCTTTCTAGAAAGGGCCCCTTTTTCTAGAGAATGCAGTGGCATCTCTGTTATTCTGTCAGCTTTGGGGCCAGAACCTCTAACTGTCTTGATGAAAATCCAGTGTCCTGGAAGATACAGGCACTTCATTTTTTTCCCTTCCCATGCAAGAGCCTTCCTTTGTCTGCATTTCATGGTGGAAAGGGAGTTATTGTCCTGGATGACCAATCTGAACATGGTGCCTGATCCTGCTAGGAGGGCTATCACCTCTTTCCATAGCCTGTGCTCGAAATGTTTTGCTGGACTGGAACACAAGGTTGACAAAACATGTCAGTGCTTTATAGAAGCCAAAAGGAGATGAGGTCTCCAAAGTCTTATGTGTTCTACATACACATACTAAAAGGATTCCTGCTTAAATAGTTGTGATAAAGGACTCGTGCAATTTGAGTCATAGAAATTAAGACTCAGGGCCACCAAATGACTCAGAAGTCCGAAGTGGGCTTGGAAACATATATACACCTAAGTCTAAGACTGTGACCTTCAGAGCACACCCCCTAACCTTTTAG